TCTCTGAATCCCACACACCGAAGCGCAGCCTTTATTATTTATTAGACTTTGACGGCGTTTTGTTGTGACAAGGGGCCAGGAAAAAAAGAAGGCTTCTGACATTCAAGGCTCCCCGACTAGATCGAGCCAGTGCTGCCTCTCTGTTTTGGCCCAAAGGGCCGGCTTTGCAAAGCGATCCTCCCCCTGTTCCTGTTCTGCTCTGTCGCTTACATTCAGACACGTCAGTCTCCCGCGCTGCCCTGAAGTGCCCACGAGCAGAGAGCGCCGAGGGACGCCCGGGACAAAGGTGAGTTCAGCTTGTTTACATTGACAGTGCGCGGCGAGCCCCCCGTTCACAGCTCGGTGCCTGCTGAAGGGTAACCTGAATCGAGGATGAGCAGTACGTGTATAACGAGCACTTTATCTGGCGACAGGTTACTGCCTCTTCGGTTGGCTCTCAGGAAACAGTGGTGCGTTCGCTTCATGACTCTCTGCTTGAATACATTCATTCCTACAGTACAGCAACATCCTGCCAGACTTCATCACAGCTAGGCCGTCTCCATGAAGGACAAGTTCACAGCCATGTGTCGAGTTTCATGGTCCAGTCTGTTTTTCATTACAGTACAGCAGTTAGAACTTCAAACAGCATCAATCTTGGAGGGAGAAGGATGTTGATCCCTCATCGGCTTCTTACCTACAAACCCTTTGAAACACGACCAAAGCGGCGGTATCACTACCTGGCATCGAGACAAACTCGCTGTTGTCTTCTGACAATCCCTTTCCACACATGAATTACTAAAAGGTAAGTAAACTATTTAGGCTTCAACTGCAGAATTTCTTCAAAGTAAAATGTCGACTGACTTCAGGCCAAGTTGTGGCCTTGCCTATAAAAAGGTTGTTTACTTGTTTTTCCTCTCTCCTTCTTTTGTTTTTGCGAAAGGCTTTAATTTGCTTTTTTCAGAGGAAACTATTTGACAAACATTCTGTCCTTCTGGTTGCAAGGAGATGAAAATCTCTCTGTCGTCGCTAAATGTGTTCCCACAGCCCTGACGACTAAAACAAGATTTGGGATTAGCTGTGACAGCTCATGTTTGAATGCACTCTATGCAACAACGTGGATGAATCATTTGCATGGCTGACGGACAGAGCTGCCCATAAATGTCGGAGGCGGTGGTGTCAATCCAAGTTCAAAAATGGCATTTCAAGACAAAGACTTGCTTCTTATCGTGACTTCTGGGAATGCTGTGACAGACAGATACCTTTTCCCGTTCTATGGCAAAAAGTAGCAGAAGTTGGGACTGTCTGATTGCACTGAAGTTCAAAGGATTCGGGAGGAGCAATCAAACATACCCCGAGGCTGCCATTTTGGATATCTGGGTTAATGGCAGAGAAAATACAATCTCGCAATCCAGCTACAACTCCAACGCTAAAAAATAATCAGCTCAGCTTAAAAGGGCTCATTAGGAGAAGCTTTCGATGTGAAAAACATGTCGCAAAGCATGGAGAATCCCCCCCCCCCCCCCCGCGCCTTTTTTGACTCTGGGAAATCAAATTGTAACATGATTCCTTTTAACAAAGGTTCCCCTCTGAACACATTTAGGAGAGGCGAGGAGAGACAGCGAGCTGGCAGGTGCATTTCCGGCTCCCACTTAAATGAGAATTGAAATGGCAGCAGGACGTTTCCCCTAATGTTGGCGCCCGTCCAGGCGTGCCTTTTGTAAGGCCGCCTGTGCAGACCTGGTCGCAGGAGATGCCGTAGGTCTCTAGGACCTCTGCACCGCTCTTATCTCGCCGGCTTGTCTCTGTTCTCTGCGGCTGACTTTCATGCAAATGGGAGTCATAGCTCTCCAGTCTATCTTATCTTTCCAGGCTGCATTGTCCAGAGTGGACACACACAAAGGGAGTCAAGGGAATCCGCCTGTACGTTTCTTCAGAGCTCATTGGAGCTGCACTGGTGGCGCTGAATGGAGGGCGAATTATGAACGCCCTTTATGCAGAGTTCATATGCGGTGAGATCAGGACGAGATAAGAGGTTGGCCCATGTTGTCTGAAGTGATTTACATACTGTCTGTTCTAATAGGATTTCATCGACTCACACCATCCCCTTTTCATCCCTCTTGGCTGCCTGCTACCCTTCTTATATCCTCTCCCAACCCTCTCCACTATCTGCGTTTCCTCAGTACAGCGCTATTAGCACAAAACAGCTGAAGTCTGAGGGTGAGTTTATGGAAATGTGATCTGCGCAGAGAGAGTTTCCACAAACAAGCGGCGCGTTGGTTGGATTGAATGTCTTTCATGTGCAAATAAACATTCTATTTACTAAGTTCTAGAAACCTCTATTCACAGATGCATTCATGCCGTGCTTTTGTAGCAATGTGATAAAACGGCTTGTGTTGCGAAATCCGTCTCATTCTCAACCACTAAAAGGGATTTACACGTCATTTCAGTGATAGGTGTTTAAAACGATGCCTCGCTTTTTCAAATCCAAATGAGTTATTGTCTTTTGTGATATCGAACGGACAACGTTTTTCCTCTTTTGAGGGGAAGAATTCTGTGTACCCGAACAAAGGATCTTACATTTCATATATTTGTCTCATGACGACACCCACACCGTTCACAGCTGCTTTGCCCCAGGATATCCATCCATGTCTGTAATGGAGTCAAGCAACCCAATTTACATTTTTGTTGTAAAATGTAGAAAGAAAGAAAAGGACAACTGAACATGTTACTGAGAACTTAGATTGGTGAAATTCGGACTTCAAACAAAAGAGGTTTTAAAGGAACGACATGGAAACGTGCCATGTGAATTGGTGAACCACATTAAGTCAGAGGGGTGATTTTCAGTGTAAAATATCTTAAGTGCGACAAGCAAAGAGCATATATTCAACTGATTAAACTTGAACTTGAATCTACATTGACTATTTATGATTGGGAATTAAGCTATTAAATGATTCCTCCTGAAAAATAAGCCGGTCTTTGCAGGAATTAACATCTATTTCAATAGGATATTACAATATTGTTGAGTTGAAAGGAATGAAGCAGAGAATGGAGGGTAGAGTTTGTTCTTGCTGTCCTCTCCTGTCACAATGTCAGTAAGCTTTAATTTCACCCCCACATTATGTCGCTCTTATCTATGTTATCAGTGTTTAATCAGTATCGCAACCCATACCACCCAAATAATGATGATACCTGAGATGAATCAAAATGCAGGAAATTGTACATCGATTGTGCCGTTACCAAGAATATAATCCACGAGATATAATATCCTTAATTTGCCAGGCTTGCAAAAACGTAATTAGATCAGCAGCTTATCTGCAGCCTTTAGTGTTTTGAAGCGTTATTAGTAGCGAGGGATGTGCAGAGATCTTGTGCATGAGGAAGATATTGTCTTTGATTGATCTGCCGTGCTGTATCGGGGCATGTGGCAATCTTCCCAGCAGATTACAAATAGACAGGACCTTCAAATTGTGTCTGACTGCTCAACAGAGACCAATTCCTCGGAGACTGAAGCCGGCTGGGATATGTGTGTGAAATGTGAGCCATACAGTAAAACTGTCCACAGCTTTTCTGATGACGTGAAATGCTTTGGCTTTGACAGACCAGACATTTAACCCTTTTCTTTCATCGCAGTTTAGGAGATCACTTCACCAGTCTCCTCTGGATCACCAACCCCTTCAGAGAAAACTGACAGCCGCATCAATAAAAACCCAGATGGAGTGAATGTGTATATTGATCAGGGCGAATCAGGGAAGGCACCTGTTGACTCTTCCTTCAGAGGCACCAGCTCGGATAAACAATGGCCGCACTTATGATACGACTCCCACTCAAACTCATCCTCAGCACGACGCCACAAAGCCCCTCAGGGGTCAGCATGCGGCTGCCCTAATTTCCTCTGGGTCGCTGAAGTAGCCCTAAACGCTTCTCGTCAACGCATATGGCCCAGCTTCAGCTGCATTAGAACTGTGATTGACATCACTAATATTCTTTTTGCTTGAAGAAGGATCACATTATCAGATCTGATGGGTTTGAGCTGTACTGTCAAAATGCCAGCGGACCGTAGCATATTTCCTATTATCCCCCCCATTGTATCTGCTGAATTACAAAGCAGACCATTTTCTCTACCGGTGTTGCAATTCATAACACTTATGACACGTCACAAAGACCTGATGCCCATTTAGTTCTACAAACCAGAACATGCATAACTGCAATCATAAAGGTCTGCGCAGTGATTCAGAATAGGGCTGTTTATAGCTTCTAATCCAAGGCTTGCTTATTAGAAAATGTCTGATGGTGCCTTTTGATGGCGCGGAGGTGGCACAAGCCTGAAACAAAAGTATAAGCCAACAAAATAAAGGCTGCTTGGTGGACGCATTTGCTTGTCATCACTCTGGCATTGTGACAGATCTGCTACTTTCAGTAAAATATCTCAGAGAGAACAAGAAGCTGTTACCTAACGGATGGGAACTAGGAAACTAGTCATGATGGGTGCCTCCATCCGAGAGAGGCAGTGATGTGCTGGCTCTCCTGTGACTGTCCGTTTGCTGTAACGACAGGGAATGCCCTGCAACCTTAACATCACTCTAGGATGCAGTCATTATTTCTTGGATTCTGTGGCATGCTGCAGATGTTGGTACAGCAGATACCCGACAAACCGATTCTTCCCTCGTTTTATTCTCTCGTGTAGAGTTTAAGGGAGAGGGGACAGTCTGCCATCTAGCGGATGAATCTAAAGGTGCAGGTTAGTATTTAATGCCCTACATGTTGTTGTAATGCTCTGTTGCAACACTAGGAGGCAATGTACTCCATGAATTTCTTCATTAACCATTACGACCACTGTGGTCATTTGGGAGAAGCATTTATTTGAAGGACAAAAAATGATGATGAAATAACAAAAGGGAAGTCATCCCGTACTGCATTTTTTTGAAAAAACTCTAGTCTTCATTTCTTGGAATACTCCCAACGGTATAAGATTTATTTCCCCTTTTAACAGTACTTGCATTGATACAAAATGTATTATGTAGCATTTAACTTTTTCTTATTTAATTCGATGTACAGTAAATTCATGTTTCCTCTCATTTTAGAAACTGCTGTCACTATTGGCTTGCCACAAATATGTTGATGAATTATGTTTGTGCTTGATCTCGCTTGAATGTATTGTTGAAATGAAAGGTATTGAGCTGAGAAATGGCACATTAGAAATTGCACCATTGCCCTCCTTGCTATTATAGCAGCACATGTTCTGCTCCAGTCTGGGAGACTAAATGCTGTCAGGTACACAGAGTGGCCCAGCAAAAGATGAGATTCCTCACTCTCACAACATGTTTTTGCCGCAGCGATACTTTAATACATTACATTAAATATGTCATTAAACCGCTGGTTGTAGAAAAAACACGGAAACATATCCAACAAAATGATGTGTCAGTTCCAACCTGCTGTCACACACGCTTCCCAACCCTCCTGTGCAAGTCAAGTCAAGTCAGCTTCATTCGACTCCTTGGTCACAGTTACATTGAATAGCTTTCACAACCCGCTGAGAACAATGACTGGATCAGATGTGTCATCGCAGACTGAATAATGCCAGGAAAGCAGGTACTGCCCTCGCTGGTTGTGAGAGTTATCAAAGGGTTCATTATGCAGCCCTCATACGTATTGGACGGCCGTTTGGTTTTCATGGCGAAAAAACAGGAAAATATTTGTTTTTGTTTTAATCTGTGTCAAAGTACTACTACTTTACTACTACTACTACAGGAATAACCAGTTTGAAGACCATTTCAAGTATGTAGTGTTCGTTAGTGTTCGTTCTGAAGGTGACTTCTAAACAAACGTTCAGAGCAGCGAGTGAATTTAAAACTACATGCTGCGTTTCAATCAAATCAACAATAACAACTCATTTTAAATCTCTTGATTTTAATGAGCCTGCGCCCCTTAATTAGTGGGAAAACGTGTTATTCTCGCATGCATGTCTGGGTTGATATGCTGTATACAACACGATCACCACTTGTATAATGTTGTTGTCTGGCATTTATCTGCTTACGATGTCTGATGTGTATTATTCATGCCTATTCTTTATTAACCATCCACACAGACTGAACTCATGCTGCTTAGCTGACTATGCTTCCATAACATGACCACCTGTAATAGCTACTATTGTCCTGTGTTCATCCGCAGTCTCTCACATGTAAAGTGAGTGTAGCGATAGGTTTTAGGGGGGCTCGGTTTATTGCGACGATGTCCCACCCCAGAAGCGGGGACGCGCTGCCCCCTATCAGACCCGCAGCGACGTGCTCCGCCCCGCCTATCAGCATCTCCAGGCGGCGCAGAGGAGCCGCGAGTCCGGAGGAGCAGCAGCAGCAGCAGCAGCAGCAGCAGGCAGCAGAGACTTCAACGGCTCCCGCGTTCGTCCGACACTCCAGAGCTGCTCCCCGGCGAGAGGAGGTGATGATGGCGGCGGCTGTAGAGAGAGGAGGCGTCCGGGCCGCTTTCCTGAACCCGAGCAGCGGAGGCGGCGGCGGCGGCGGACCCGCACCGACGACCCTCCCGGCCGGAGCGCTAGCCAGCTCTGTGCTCCTGGGCTCGGGCTCTGGCAGCACGCCCGTACCCATGAACCTCTTCGCAACCTGGGAGATAGACCGATCATCCCCGAGCTGCGTGCCGAGGTAACGTTAACGACGCCGCGTTGGCGTGAAGCACCGCATGCCAATGCGTTTTAAAAACAAACAAACACCAGGCTAATGTCGGAGCAAAAACGCCCTCGTTGACTGCAACGCGAGGCGAGAGAGACGAGCCGCCACACATTCCCCCCAAACGCTGTCGGGCTGGTTTACCAGCGGGCTAACTAGCATGGTGGCTAATGCTAAAGCTACCTAGCAAGTCGCACTAGTGGTGTTCCAGTTTCTCTCGTGTTGCGAGCTAGAAGCCCTGTTTTGTATTTCTGCAATAACGAAGCGACCGGCTGAACGGGTCGCGGGGACAACGTGTGGCTGTCCGGCGCGTTAGACGCGGGCTGCCGAGCGTGTACTTTACGTTGTTTTGTTAAAACAGTTTTGTGTAACTGGTTCCGATCGTTATGATGACGAGCTAACGCTAGCAAAAGTTCCGTTAACCGACGTCAGTTTAATCGGGCAGATTATCTTCTGCTGTGTGCCTGCGTTCGGTTTAAGATTTTGGATTAAAAAAAAGACACGCGCTCCTGTCGCCCGCGCCTGGTCGCGTTTGGGCGGTAACGCGATGCCACCTAAAAGCGCCATGACGCGGTGCCTCGGGTGCCGCTCGGCTCCTAATAACCAGCGGGCAACTGCGTGTCATGAGCGGACACTTCGGCCGGGGACCCGGGGGAGAGCGAACTCGGTCCCCCCCTTTTTGTGTGTGTGTGTGTGTGTGTTTGTGTGTGTGTGTACGTGCAAATCCCGCGTTTGTCTAGGTGTTCTCCACCAATACTCTGCATCAGTATTCATTGTCAGCGCGCCGGCACTGATGCCACCTGACCAGAAGCCTCTCTGGAGATGTGGGCACATTAATCAGCTTTGACCTAGATCCGTTCCACTCATCGGGAGAGGGGAGGGTTTTCCTCCGCAGTCGATGTGCATGAGTGTGCAACGGAGTATGGGGGCATAGCATGCGGGTAAAAACATGGGTCATTTACAGCCACGCCAATATTTTCGAATTTCCTTCCAAACACGGTTCTGTTTTGGTCCCTGGAACCTCTGCTGATTTGAGGCCAACTAGAAAGCCAATGTGAGTCTGTGCTGTGATTGTGTTACTCTCCAATTCAGCAGCTCGCCACGCTTTCGTTTATTGTGGCCTCAATCTCCTCAATTTACCACGACCGACACTCTGAAGATCCAGGCTGTTTGTCCTTGACGGACTCCGCTTAAGGTTTCAGAGCCGTTTCCGTCCACACAAATAGACAAAGCTGACGCGCAAGCCGCTGCAAGTGAGCATGCCACTGATGGCTGTGCATACAACGTTGAGACCTGCGGCGGGCAGAGAAGGCCAGGAGGACGCGTCGGTACATCCGTGGACTGTGCCGTACACAACGCATTGATTTTTCCCCACATTTCTGCCTCGACACTGTGACGCTGTTTGCTTCCTCCCTACAGCGGATGACGTCCGAGGTTTTAAAGATGAATAAGGACGGGCATGACAATGTTTTATTAATGGGACCGGTCATTGTTCCAGCACAAGACTGCAGCAGCTGCCAACACAAGTCATTGTTGACGATCAGGGTCATTTTGTTAGATCTGATATGAGATGAGTTCATTTGTTCATTTTGGCTAAACGGTCGTAACTCTTGAGTTTTGACCCGGTGGCACCGGGGTGCTGGCAGCGTTTTGCTAAGTGGTTTGCTGAGTCTATTTGTGTTTTAACGCCACTTATGCTGAACCTGTGTGAACGGTCCGGCGTTGAGCCCAACCAGAGGCCTGTTTCGGGGAGTCGGCCCTGGCATGCTTTCAGGGGCCGGGCCATTCTGCGTGCAGCTGTTTGCTGCTCTGCTGGCCTTGAGCAAATGTGGGTGTCCAGCTGAGTGGGAAAGTTTTAGTCGAGGCCACAGGGCTTTAAAATATTGACTGATTTTCATCGCGGTAATCGACATCCCATTACACAAACGCAGCATCCTATTACAAAGAGCGGTGATGGGGGGGGGGGGGGGGTATTTTATCCAAAATGTCAAATGTGTTGTCAGCTCTGGTGGGGCTCAGCATGAGGTTGTGGTTCCTTACAGTTTCGCTGCAGAAAGAAACAACGGGTTCCATAGTAATAACATACTATAACAAAACCGTTCTTGGGTTTTTTAAGCATAAAGCTTGTTTAATTGAGATTTCTTTTTGTATATCTATTATTTACACAAGTATTTTAGTCTTGCACAAGTTGTCATTGACTGCTTGTAATATCTAAATGCTTCCACAACGTGGCAGGTACAGTTTTATTGCGAAGTTTGATACGGCATTCGGCCAACTGGATTTTGTGCTTCATCAACAACACGGTTGAAGCAGATGGATTGTGTTAGTCTGAGCGCCGACGTGCCCGCTAGTTTGCTACACTCCAATGTTTCTAATGCCATGTGTTAGGTATGTATGGCTTTTCTTTCATATGTTAACAATCTTCTAAATGGTGGGAGTGGAGGTGGTTTAACCCGCTTTGCTTCTTATTTCACTTTCAGCCAATTTGCTGACAAATGCTTTGGGGGGGGGGGGGGGGGGGGGCCTTGGGGAGAAAAGCGCACAAAAGATGCTGTATTTATCTGGGATGTAGTGGCGGCCTGCACTTATCTATGCCTAGCAGGCGTAGATGGGCGTGTGCAATCGATGCATGGAGTAGTTAGTTATCGTTTTTAACTAACTTTTTTTTGTGATTTTATATTGGCGACACTGACGCAGATCCCCCACGGGGACGGCAAGTTTATGTTTACGTATCTATTTGTTCAGGGAACATTTGGACATTAATGGAGAGGTCAAAACGGTCACATGTTTATCGACTAGCGATTAGAGAATGTGCAGCAGCAGCATGTGAGGGGTCGGCTTCTCATGAAGTCCAAAGATCTTTTACAACTTGGTGTCAAAAGTCGTGACCTTTGACCTCGCCACTAACGTGACGGGAGAAACCAAAGCAAATGCGTTGGCTGCTCAACATCACCGGGCTCGACCGTTTGCTACACGGTAGGAAAGTTGTTGACCAGTAAACAGGCTTTCAAAATAAACGGAACAAAAAACAACCTACGGCATTGTTTCCGCGTGACATTTTCGGTCCGTGTTCTCTTATACTAATATGTGTGTCTTGTCTCTGAAGCTTGACCGTCTGGATTCAGAGGCCTAAAGAAATGTCAACGGATCCCTTTTTTGTCCGCTGACGTTCATCTAAAGCGAGCAGAGCGTCTGTTTGATTCGTGCGAGTCCCAAATTGAACTTCTCCTGTGAGTGGCACAGCTCTATCTGGATGGTAATCGAGTTACTCCGCAGGCTCTGTTCTGATGTGTATTTTCTTCTACCCCAGTCCTGTGTATTGGATCACAGCGATGCGTGCTGTCTGTGCATGTCAGCAAATAAAAAGGGAAAACAAAAACAGTCTTGCTTGGACCGCAGCGACATTATTGTGTCCTATTTATTCTAGGTCAGTAGATATGAAGCCATCAGCCCAAAGTCTTTGCGTGCACCATATGCTGCGATGCACACAGCTATTTATAATATCTAGAGGGTTGAATTGTAAGCATGCAATCTCCTGTATCATCCCTGGCCTTAATCTCATTGATTTAATGTCGTCTTGTCTGTTTATTTTTAAACCAAAGACAAAACCATTAAATCGGGGTACAAATAAAGCAGGCCAGTCCGTCAAAAAGGAAGAGCTTACTGTCCCCTTTTAGCCCCTCGCTAACCCCTCCATCTCAAGGCTTGGATATTGCTTTCTCCTAGCAGGGGAGCTACAGTAATCTGATTTCATAACACGAAGAGAAGGGTCGGTAATCCGACGCGGCACACAGAAACTGTCTGCTTAATCTCCCGCTTCCTTTTGCAATCATAAACAAGGCCCACCAGTCTTATCCGCTGCCCTCCAGGACTGTGACCCACGTCTCCGTGTCCGTTCGCGTCTTGTTTTACAAGCAATGTTTGGCTTCACCGCCAGTATCCGAGTCCCTGGCGGGACGTGTGGACACAGGAACGTCACTCTCACTGGGACATCAAAGTCAAAGGCGTCTTCGGGCCCGTGTGCCTTTCCCTTTCCCACTTGATACGTTTTTGTTTTTTAATGCTGATTTTCATATTTCCATGCTGACTGGTTTCGGTGCCGTACTGGAATCCATTGATTTTTACTTTGTATGAACGTGCTGAATGAAAAATGAGCCGCTAAGTGTTGCAGAACCAAATTCCCCCTCCATTAAAGAGAGAATTGGCACTACATTAATGCCCAGGAGCCACATTACAATAACAGCATTTAACTTCAGCCAGGAGTTTGATAAATACCCACACTAAGGATGAAATACTCTAGATGTTTCACTTAAAGACTAGCTAGACGTTTCAAAAAAAAAGATTACGGTCATAGAATTTAAAGCTGTAATTGCTTTTCATCGATCATTTCTATGTCACCACATCTGATGTTGGGAGTGAAACATCTTTGGGCTGTTTGTGTTCGTAGGTGTCGAAAGTATGAACTGATAACCGCTGCAGTTCCCTTTTTCGTGTTACGCTATCCACGAGGCCACCACCTGCCTACATGCTCCTCTGTCCACTCACTCTGCTAGGCAAATTCCCCCCCCCCCCGTATCTCTCTCTTCCTATAGCTACGAGAGGCGTGCAGCCGGAGCGAGCTGGCCGTGCTCCGCCCTCGGCCCCTGCTTTTGTTTGCTGTTGTTGACCACCTACCTGCTCCCCGGGTGGGTTGGCGCTGCGGATCGCCCACTCAGTTGAAAAGTTTTGCTGAACTGGCTCTGAGCTTCCCGGGGAGCTGCGAATGTGCTGAATGCTCATGTGAGTTCCTCTCATGGGAAAGAAATTTTTTTTTAGACCCCCCCCCCCCCCCCCCCCCGCCCCTCCCCCTGCACATGAGAATAGGACAACAGCCAGATTCGTTTGTGGGTGGATACCAGGGTCTCAGCGAGCGAAGAGATCCAACTTCCTGATCCAAACAAGTGAGGCGAGGGAAGCTGTCCTCTGACATGGGATAG